AGAGAGATGAGTGGCTGCGTTGGTTGGCGTTCTAGAGCCTTGTACACATACCGACCATAGTATGCCGTCTTTGCAAAGACAGATCTTGATCCAGACGAGGGGCTGCAGAGAATAGGGCCACTGTAAGGCCGAACAACCCCCACCGGCGTTGGCGCCATTCGTGTCTGATGATACGTCGGGGCAATGGCGCTAGAAGGCGCCTTCGAAGATTCGGCGCGTCGTGGATGGACGGAGAAAGCAGAGTAATCGGTCCGGAGCATCATCCTCATCATTATGAGGTGGTTTGGATGCAGCGCCTTGACCGGGGTATTACCACAGGATCGGCAAGTCTCCTGACGTGTGTCGTAATTCGGGCAATGCTGGTCGTACGGGTGTATATATATATATTATTATTACTTGTAGGGTATGATCCAGTCACTCTGTATTGGTCGACCATGCGCATCGTTGCAAGTCCATCTCATCGCTGTCCCGTTCTCGTGCTTGTAGCGACGGCGTCATGGCATCATCTCCCGTAAGCGACGTCCAAGTGAGAATCGACAGAGACAATAGTCCACACCCCGTGCCGTCTGCCGCTGCGTAATAGGGCATCTCCGTTCTCCGTACTCCAGCAGGCTCTGCTGTGGGGGATCCCTGCAAAGGAGGGCCCAGGGGGGCCAGGGCCAGGTGCAGCTCCAGCTTCCAGACCCCGCAACAGAGCAGGCTAAGAGCAGGGAAGCGGATCACGCGAGCCGCCTCCCACTGGCCGAAGGCTTCGGCAAGAAGTCAATATATCAACAGTTGAACCCCACATCGAAGCCCGGAAAAAAATCGCATCGTCATTGGCCTCTAGGGAAAGATGCCGAGGGACGTGGCGATGGGGCCCATGTCCCACTTGGCGGTAGCCTCGTACGAACGACCCATGATGTAGCTGTGCTTCATAGTTCGAGGGTCACATATTTGCCCCGTATTGATAGAGGGTTCAAATGCCGTGGATGGTGGGCCAGAGGTCGGAGACAGGGGTGGGACCCAATGGTCTCCCCCATGAATGAGCCAAATGGATGAGGGGAATGGGGAGATGAGGACATGTTGAGAGATGGAGCTGAAGATGGGGAACGGCAGCCGGGCGGCGGAACTGGGGTTTGGGGCCGCCGCATCGCAACTGCCGCCCAACGTCATTGTTCTTGCCATTTTTTTTTTTAAAAAAAAAAAAATCATCACTCATCTCCATCGCTCCTTCCCGTACTATTCCGTATTTCGCACTTGTTCCGCGGTGACGCATTACAGCATCAGCAACAGCATCTACAATATTATTACATCTACAACCTCCATCTGCCGCAATCGATGCTACCAGATTTCTTTCCGACGTGCAACTGCAATTGGCACCTGTCCAGATCGCCTCTTGTGATTGTTCATCAGGACAGGAAATCGATTATTTCCTTCATGCTATTGTGTGGGGTATGTTGCTCATAGTCGGTTGTTGACCCTTTTCCATGTCCCCCTTCTGCAGGCCACCTCAGCGCACCAACTCACACATGTACATGGGTCTTTTCCCCTCAGCTCAGATGTAGAGCACAACATCGCGCATATGCTCTCCGTATTACATCAAAAATTGGCCGAGTGTCGCCGTGTCCATGCAGTCCGATATTGCGGTGTATATCTCCCGTCCCCCAATTGCTCGACTCTGGACTTGACAAGGTATAAGTTCGTAGTCTCCTGTTCTCGACCACGTCTGTCTACCCTTCGTTTGGCCTCTCATCCACACGCCTTGCAAGTGCGAATACGCCACCGTCGAAACGTCGTATCCTGTGCTTCGTATTGCCAATGTCCAAAACCACAGTAAAGCGGTCGCGGATTCAGTGCCAGCCTCGTACGAGCGCCATCACCCCATCAGTTGCATTGTGATCGTCACGTAGGAGTGGATCAGCTCGAGAGCGGCTCCACTGCAGTCCATCCATCGATACTTGCCGTCATAATTACCAGTTGCCAGTACTGCAGTAAGTACGGAAGTAGTAGCAATAGTATTCGCATCTGCGTGTTGAAGGGCATTGGGGTTCGGGTGTGCTGTCCATAATTATGTCATCGCATTTTCCCCTCTTTACCGCCCATACAGACCACGTGCACCACCTCCCCTTTCCATCATCTGGCCTCCTCTTCACAATCCATCTATCCTTTAGCGTCCACGTTTCCTACGAAGTCTCTTACTAACGATTCAGCTATCTCTAGTCTCTACGCGAAAACCTACTCAACGCATTCTCTACTTCAGCCCTCGTCACACGTGCAGCCCTCGACAGCCGCGTGGATGACACGGCCTGAACCCCATCGCCACTCACAGAAGACGCAACCAAGAACCAGGATATGATTTCACCAGCCAGAAACATTTCATCTTTGGGTAAAACATCTGAGACCTGCATCCCTTCGCTCACAATAGCAATCACAAGTGGCACTGCCGACGTCGATCCCATGTGATTTACCGCGCCGTCTCGATACCGAATGCAAGGAACCGACAACCTAACCGACACCACGGCTCTTAGGACAACAACCCGACCTCTTCTCACAAAAAAAGGCAAAAGGTTATCTCAAATCTTCTCCGAAAGGACAAAAAGAGGAGACGAGAGAAAAAAAGAGACGCAATCGTTATTATAGGAATAGCCCAATGCGGGGGTCGAACCCGCAACCTTGAGATGTGAACTTCTATGATCGAACTGATCTAGTAAGAGTCTCACGCTCTACCGATTGAGCTAACCGGGCAACCGGTTGTTCTGTGGAGAACCAGGATCCGTGGCAAGCCTTTTGTTTCTACACGGTGAGAGCGCAGTAGGGAGTGGCCGCATGTGAGATGGGTTTTCATATGCCGGCGACTTGATGGGAAGCCGCTATATCAGTAGGGTCCGAGGACATCACTGAAGACAGCACACACCAAATGTGCCGTGAAATATCTCGCCAACCTACCTGGTACCTCCAGATGTCTCTGCAGTCATGCTCATATTTTGAAAAATATGCCTCTCTAGTTCAAGTTGCATTGCGTTGTAGAGAAAGTCCGTAGCTATCTTGGTGCTTGATTCAAAAGGAAAAGAAACCTCTGAGGTTATCTACCGATGTGAGTGTGGCAGCAACCTCTGGCTGCTTAGTCATATACCATATAGGGTATCACAGCTTTGAGCGGACAGGTGTCACGGCAATATCATACGCAATATGATTCGAACATGTAAAAGAAAAAAAGGGGGGTACCTAGATGAAAATTCTCTCAGGGGGTGAATACTCTGATACGTGCCAATATGTGTAGATAAGTTGACTTTGCGGACCCTACGGAAACTGTGATTGTCTCGGAGGGCTGGCTTTCACAGGTGTGGCATAATTTCTTTTTGTTATAAGAGACTTGTACCCTAAAACTACGAGCGCGAGAATGTCATTTATCAGTGGAAATGTGCTTTGTTTCTTCTTCCCTCACTAAAGATGTCCAATTGGTTCTATAGATGCGAAAGTCTAATGTTATTCACTGCATGTAGAAGGCAAACCGGTGCGTTGCGGAGGCTGACATGAAGTTGAAGTCTTTAATACGCATAGTTCATCCACATATCTCGTTTGATTGTAGGGGAGGCTGGAGATGATCATTGATCATGGAAGGGGGCTCTGTGTAAGTCTGTTAACCGAATGAGATGATATAGATATGATACAAGCCATGCTCGCAGGTTCGTTCCTCGTCCGTTACTCGTACATGTTGATTCTTTTTCACATTATCTGACCCTTATCAGCAGTATGAACTGCATCGTAGCCGTACCGGGGTGGCATCATCGTCGTCAGAAGTCCAGCAAAAGTCATTATTCAACAAACGTTGATTTAAAAAGCCCTGGGAGCCTATCATCGTGGACGACGACGTGTAGGTTCAGCCAGGCGGAGACATTGTTGGCTTTGCATGCTCCCGCGGGCTTGTTCCATCTTTAACTATACCCGTCAGCAAGGTCCAGAGCTTGATGGGGAAAGGAAGTTGGAAAGTCATCGACCTTTCTTCGTATGTGAACAAAAAAGGAGAGGCATCTTCAGAACTCGAACCTGGGCAGTTCTCATACCTGCGCACTTATTCTAGACTCATTCATCTTCGCTCTCCTCTCTGAGTGCAAGCAGACTTCTACGCGCATAATCAGACACTCGTTTATCTTGATTTCTCTCTCAAATAAACACCAGACACCTCGTTTCATCCGCTCCACAAAACCGCAGTAAACTCAGGGGAAAAAAAGATGATCAACGAAGTTACTTGGATCGTGGTCCTTACCACGATCGGACTGTGCTGCAGTGCCTACGGAAACGGAGGCAACGATGTGGCCAACTCGTATGCCACGTCGGTGGGCTCCCGTGCCCTCAAGCTATGGCAGGTTGGCGTCCTGGCTACCGTGACCGAGTTCGTCGGCGCCGTGGCATTTGGGTCCAGGGTGACGGGTACCATCAAGTCAGGCATAATCGACCTCGACCGCTTCCGCTCGCAGCCGGCGATGATGGTGCTCGCCATGGGCTGTGCCGAGTTCGGCGGCGCGGCCTGGCTCCTGACGGCCACGCGCGTCGGCTTCGCCGTGTCGACGACCCAGACAGCCATCGGCGCCCTCATCGGCGCCGGCCTCGCCTCCCACGCCGACATCAAGTGGGGTTGGGCCAAGGGCAGCGTGTCCCAGATCGCCGCCTCGTGGGGCATCGCACCTTGTGCCGCCGCCGCCGTCTCCGCCGCCATCTTCGCCACGATGAAGTACCTCGTCCTCGAGCGCAAGGATAGCTTCCCCAGGGCCATCCGCGCCATCCCCTTCTACTTCGCCTTCACCGCCACCGTCCTCGCCCTCTTCTTCACCATGGAGCTGCCCATCAGCCCCGGTATCCGGGGCGAGGGGGCTCTCCATCCCGGCGTCGTCGTCGGCATCGCCCTGGGCGTCTTTGCCGCCATCTTCGCTCTATCCTCCTTCTTCTTTGTGCCGTACGTCAAGCTCCGCTTCGTCCGTCTGGACCCCCGTGCGCGCATCTACCACGTCGTCCTGGGCCCGCTGCTCAACCGCGATGACCCGCCCCTATTCTGGCCCGGCGACGAGAATGTTGCCGCGGCCGTCAGGGACTACTATGCCGACGCAGGCCACGGCAATGCCTCCACCACCCCTGAAAGCCTGGAGAAGGGCGCAGGCGACGGCTCCCAGGCCGGCGGCGCCAACAAGCACGTCGAGCCCGAGGAGCGCTGGCTGGAGCCCTGCAAGCACTTGAGGCTGACGGACCGCACCCGCCTGTTCGGCATGGTCAAGTACTACCTCCTCCGGGGCGTGATGCGCGACTGCGTCACCCACGACACGTCCGGCGAGATGGCCAGGGTCCACGCCTGCGCCCGGCGCTACGATAACCGTGTCGAACACCTCTGGACCTACGCCCAAGTCATCTCGGCCATGATGATGTCCATCGCCCACGGGTCCAACGACGTGTCCAACGCGCTCGGCCCCTGGGTCGGTGCCTACAACACCTGGCTCACCGGCGAGGTCACCGACGAGGCCACCATCCCCATCTGGATCGTCGTCGTCGCTGGACTCCTCCTCGGCGTCGGCTTCTGGTTCTCCGGGTACCGAATCGTCCGCACCATGGCCAACGACGTCACCCGCATGACCCCCGCGCGCGGCTACGCCATCGAGATGGGCGCCGCCATCACCGTCCTCGCCGCCTCCGCCCTCGGCCTCCCCATCTCCACCACCCAGTGCCTCACCGGCGGCCTCATGGGAGTCGCCCTCATGAACCTAGACCATGGCGCCGTCCGCTGGTCGAAACTGGTGCGCATCTTTGGCGGGTGGGTCCTCACAATGCCCGTCTCTGGCGGCATTTCAGCTTGTCTCACTCTCATGGCGCGCAACACACCTTCGCCTTATCAATAGCCGCCGGAAGCTCTCTATCTGTATGGCCTGACTTCTCCATTTAGCATCGAACATTAGCTTGTTCGGCGCATTGTAATAGTTTCGTAGCTTGCTTTTGTTATAGAGTATCCCTAGCCGCACCTTAACTAATACGTTTATGCATAAGAGAAAAGAGCTTTCAGGCAGTGAGTCTGCTTGGGTAGGGGGGTGGTGAGATGAGTGAAAAGGTCTGCGTATAGAGAAGAGGTAGAAGAGTTGCAGTAGTGAACGCACCAGTTGCAAGTGTGTGTGTGTTGATCGTGTTTCCCTACCTAGATAGGATAGGGCCTGGTGACTATTTATGTCAAGGGCGCAAAAGGTGAACTCCAGGAAGAAATCGTGGCCTCGAGCTCAGCATAGAGGACATAGACCTGAGCCCCAGAGAGCCGGGGCAGTACAACCTGGACCCATCATCGGCCATCATCTACGAGATTTGGAAATCCTAGCAGATACTCGGCGTTGTAGCTACTGTGCCCCGGTGGGTTCTGGTCTTTGGCGGCGCGGGTATCGTCATCGGTCTCGAACATGTAAGTATCATGAACAAGCTTGGAAACGAAACTACCGTCATGTCGCCTACCAGAGGGTTTGCCGTCAAGCCGACTCCGCCATTTCCGTCGTCATTGCTACTTGTTTTGGTAAGGATTGTCTACCCATGGAGAAAAGAAAAAAAAGGTGAATAACATAGAAACAAAGCTGGCAAGATTTTATGATAGAGCTTCCCTTGTCTACTATTACGCATTGCATGACGGTCGGCATTGTCGGCGCCGGTCTCTGCAACGGCAGTTGGCGAGCCATCAACCGGCAAATGGTGAGTACAGCAACCATTTTTATAAGTCTATTTGGCTTCATCACACATCTATCAGACTGGAATGAATGAGTGGTGTGGGGTGGTTCTTGGACCCGTATTCAAAAAATCAACCTTCTACGTCGGTATATTATGCGATCGTGAGTAGGAATCTGGACTTTTGTTGTCCGTTGAATAATTGGGTTAAAAGCTGTCTTCTTCTCTAGATAATACTACATGGCTTCAATGTTTTGTTCCTTATCCGGGCTCGTACTTCCTTGTAGCCCTTAGGTCATGTTACCAAGCAATTTATTGGCGTCATTGTTATGAACGAAGTGGTGATCAGTAGTATCATTACCGATGGGAGAAAGTCTAACTTCTAGGTATAAATATGTCTGGTATGTATAGTATAATACGTTTCAAGTATAAATGTTTCTAAGTAAGATGTATGCTCTCAAGGAGGCTTTTGAGTCCTATGCCATGCGAGGTTGCGATGTGCTGATGCTAGTCTACAGATGCATGAAGACAAGTCAATGTACGCATGAGGTGTCGTTCCTGTTTGAGTTCATTGAACTGAAGGATACGAGGAAAGGCATTAATCGTTGCGTTGTCGGTCAAAGATCTTTCCGGGGTTTCTATAAGAGCTGTGCATTAGCCATTGTCGCGGAGATATGGAGAGATTGTATAGCGAGGCAGTGTGACGTACAGAATCCAGTGAGGGTCCAGAGTGTTTTTGAACAGTTTCTGGTTTGGAGCATGTTAGCAATCTGCGCTCCTGGCTGGGTTGGATGGAAGCGCAAAGGCCTTACCATGACGGTGACGGTGTCCTCGCCCACCTCCTGGCGGAGACCATCCTTCTTGCCGAAACCGATGGCATGCTCGCCCGTGCAGGTGCCCTCCATCTCGATGGCACGACGGACCATATTCTTGACCAGCTTCTCGGCCTTGGCCACCTCGTTCGGATCGGTGGCGTTGTAGCAAATGTTCTCGTGGAAATTGCTGTCACCGACGTGACCCTTGACCGTCGCCTTCAAGCCAGAAGCCTGGGCTTCCTTCTTGCTAGCATCGACGAGGTCGGCCAGTCGGCTCAGCGGAACGGCAACGTCGGTGACCCCTATCAAGGTGCAGATTAGCACTACTCTTTTCCTCTCTTTTCTTTTCCCGGATTTCCTTTCCTCTCGGGTAACGCCGATGCTGTCGTTGGACACTTACAGATCTGCTCTCCCTCCTTTCGCAGAGACATGAAGGAGAAAAGGGACTCCTTCCGCGCAGACCACAGGGTTGCCTGGTCCTCCGGATCAGTCGCCCACTCGAAATCTCCCGGCTCGAATTCCGCGACGATCTTCTTCACAGTCTCGATGTTGTCCTGGACGATGCCCTTTGTTCCCGAGAACTTGAAGAAGAGAGTCGGCGCCTCCTTCCACACCTTGGGCAGGGTCGAGCCCACGTCATTGACCACCTTCATCTGCACGTCATCCATGAGCTCGAGGGCCGTGACGGGCACGCCGCCGCGGATGACGGCCGTAGCCGCCGACACGGCGCTCTTCAAGCTGGGAAAGGGCACCACAGCGACAGAAAAGTGCTCGGGCACCGGGGCCAGTTTGATGGTGATCTCCGTGACGATTCCGAGGGTGCCCTCGGAACCGACGATGATACCGTTGAGGTTGTAGCCGGCGCTGCATTTCCGCGGGCGACGACGCGTCTTGACGATGCTGCCGTCGGCAAGGACGACGGTGAGGTTGAGAACCCAGTCCCTCATGGTTCCGTAGCGCACAGCGTTGGTGCCCGAGCAGTTGGTGCCGACCATGCCTCCGAACTTGGCACTCGGGGCTGACGATTCGAGATTGACAAAATTAGCACAGTAACGCTTCAGGGAGAATGACCATACGGCACGGTGTACGCACAGGGGTCGACGGGAAAGAACAGCTTGGCTCCTCGGTTGGCGAGCTCCTCGTTCAGGTCCACCCAGCCTAGCCCGGGCTGGACGGTGGCATCCATGTCCTCGGGGCTGAAGCGCAGGATCTTGTCCATGTAGGAGAAGTCCAGGCTGACGCCGCCAAAGGGAGCACCCGTGTTGCCCTCGAGGCTGCTGCCACCGCTGTAGGGCACGATGGGTACCCTGTGCTTGGTGCAGATGCGGGCAATGGCTTGCACCTGCTCGGTGTTGCGAGGGTACGCCACGGCGACCGGGAGGACGTCGACATTGACAGACGACCACTCTGCGTATCCGTGGGCGAGCAGGTCGACGGGGTCGGTGGAGATGATGTCCACGTTGTCGTCGTTCAGTTCGCGACGTATCTCTTCGATTGCCTAGCGTGTGGGGTGCGTAGAGGTGAGCTTCCGGAGAGCGTGAGGGATGGAGAGAGGCTTCGTTACCTGCTTCATCTGCTCCGTGGAGGCATACTTGATATCAGGCCAATGGCTGGTATCGAGAATGGGCCTATCCACCGGAGACTCGGACGCATCGAGGCGCACTTTCTCCCCAAGATTGGCGTAGGCAAATCCGCCGGCTACCATGGCACCCGCAGCGGCAATCGAAGCAACGGAAACGAACTGCTGCCATTTCGACGACGCATTGGGCCCTGCTGCGCGCGTCGTCGTCGTCGTCGTCGTCTTCTGGAAAATGTGACGCCTGCCGTACGCCGCCTGTCGCGCCGCGCTCCTCAGCGGCACCTTGGGGATCTGCCAGCTACGCGACAACATCTTGTGTGTGGGGAAGGGGGGCTGTTGTATCGAGCTTGGTGAAGCGCATCAATAGCGACATGCGACATGGAGGACGGTCGGCAAAATTTGTTCGTTGCTGCTACCGATCTTCTCCATTTTAGATTTAATGGCCGGCGTCGGGGTCGGGATCGATTAAAATTACAACCGGCCGGCCGATATCGCAATGTGCGGGCCCCGGCCTGCCGGTCCCGGGCCAATGGTCTCGCTGAGAAAAAAAAGAAGAGACGAAGCTACAGTCGCATTGAAGCTCTTGCTCATGTCTTCCGGCGACACCAATAATGGGCATTCTGTTACCGTACGATTGATTCCATTGTTGCCTAAGACAAGTGAGTCAGTAGTATCGGATCTACGAAGACGCACCGCACCGCCTGGCCGATCGACTACAAAAACGTACAGCCCAAGGTGTACGTATTCTGCGCGAGAAATACCTACGTTAAAATACACGTAGGACCTTGTTGTCCACAATACGTACACACTCAGTAGGGGGAAGCAAAATGGAGAAGGGGCAACTTCATAGTGAACAGCTCACGCACGCTTAATTAGTGCGGGTACATTCATTGCACCTATCCTTCTTTCTCTTCTCTCACCCTCCCTCTGCTCCGTCCCACCTCTTATCTGAACGCACAACCAGCACGCACACACAGCAACCACTAGAATACATAAGCAGAAGAAAAAGGATGCATACACCCACAGAGGTCCCGAGGAAATAATAAAAGAAGGAAAAAGAAAGAAGGAGGAGGAGGAGGAGGAGAAGTAGACGGAAACGAAATGCCTGGTTCCATCACCCCTCCATCGCTGTCACCATCACCGCCTTTAGAACGATTGCCCACTAACTCTATATATTACATGAGAGAGCCATGAGTCACCTCGAACGCTGAGCTACCTTGTCGTGACTGTGGGAAAGGTGAATGGGCAGGGGTATCTACAAGCTCCTCTACGTTTTGGTGTACAGCAAGCCGCGGGGAGCCCGAAATTAAGTTGTATCTACGAGTGATGATTGAGATGGCGATACCTCCCAAAGGGTGACAGCGGGACGTATACGTCAAGAGGAGTGCTGGACGAGGCAGCGCATGTTTCTGTTTGCCGTGGCCTATCTATAGGGTTTATCCCCATTCATATATTATTATACCTCCAGCGTTGAAGATGATATGGTAGGAAGCAATATTGCAGGCAGTGAGGGTGAAGAGTATTGGTTATGTGTGCTTGTCATCATCATCTATACAAGACACCCCCCCCCCCCCCCCCCCCCCCCCCCCCCCCCCCCCCCCCCCCCCCCCCACACCTTCTTTCATATTCACCTCGCTTCCTATCCGTCACAATCTCCGATGCAATGAACTCTCTTCTTTTGAGGAAACTCTGTTCATGTCATCTCGACGGATTTCTCAATAAAGATCTCTTTAGGGCTTTGGCGCAAGCCATTTCGCCCACAAAATCGTGGGATGATGCGAGCGGGAACAGTCGACAAGAAATGGCGCCGGGGTCGCAGAAAATGGTCAGGGAGAACGCACACGATCAGATGAGGAAAATAGGAATGTCCCCAGAAACGGAGATGGTCTAGGTCCTCTTGCTTCTGGAGACGGGAACCTGACGCTCATGCCGCTGGAAACATCATCACCAAGTCATACGGCTAGTCACTTCAATAACAAGCCAGATACGGAATGGCAATCCTTTCATTCTCTAACGAAAACCCGAGAACAGAAGTTAGACAGACTATGCGTAAACTCTTCTCTCATCTGTCCCTTGCATCACCCCAGGTAATTACGTTGAGCCAACGGGAAAACTGTCTCTCCTCTGAATAACCGAAAAGAGAATCCGAGAGCGGATCTGGAGAAGAAGAAGGAAGCAAAAACTGGAAAAAAGATGAAGAGAAAGCGTCTCTCAGGGTAGATTGAAGGGAGGTGGGGAGGAGGGGGGGGAGAGGGGGGTTCAAACTCTCTCCCTTACAAGATAAAGACTAGAAGACAAAGTAGTGTTGACAGACCTAAGAAGAGTAGGGCTTCCTATGCTTCTTGTACGGGTTGTACTTGGGCGCAGGCTCCTCCTCGTCGGGCTCCTCGGGGTACTCGGGGTACTCGGGGTACTCGGGGTATTCGGGGTACTCAGGTGCGGGTTCGGGGGCAGGCTCCTCAGGCTTCTCGCCCTCCATGCAGAGGACGCACTTGTGTTTGCAGCTCTTCTTGCACCTCTTCTTTGCCTTCTTGTAGCTCTTCTTTTCGGCCTTGTCGGCCTGCTTCTCGGCCTCCTTGATCTCCTTCTTGTGCTCCTTCCTGTAGTACTTCTCGGCTTCCTTGGCCTCCTTGTTGGCCTTCTTCTGGCGACTCTTTTCCTTCTTCGTCATCTTGGCAGGCTTGTCGGAGCATTCCGGCTTGGAAGGGCTGGGAGCGTCTTCGCAGTCACTACGATTTGGGGGAAAGAAAGGTCAGCACACGCAAGATATCACGCAGATGCGCGGGTCGAGACGTAGAGGGAGGCTCTTCAAACATACGGCTCCGGCTTGTACTCGGGGGCCTTGGCAGGCGTCTTGGTGGGCGCCTTGGCGGGAGCCTTAGGCTCGGGGGCCTTTGCAGGTGCCTTGGCAGGTGCCTTGAACTCCTTGTGCTTGTGTCTATGCTCATGCTTGGACTTGGRRGYGGGCTYCTTGGGGGCGGGCTCCTYRGGGGCRGGCTCSWCGGGGGCRGSCTYCTYGTGGCTGCTCTTCTTGTGGGAACCCTTCCTGTGGGTGGCCGGCTTGGGAGCTGGGGGCGCCGCTGGGGGTGCCTCTGGTGGCGCCTCCGGGGGCTCGGCGGGGGGGCTCGGCTTGATCCTGGCCAGCTTCTTCGCCAAGAACTCACCGAGGAGGTTCACGTCGCGGCGGGCGAGCGCCCTGGGGCCCGTATGCTTGTTCTGTGTGGCGCTGAAGAGGCGGATGGCCCCGGTGCCCTTCTTGTCACCGACGACGGAAGACTTGGCAATGTTGATGACCGGGTTGGAGCCCTCCTCGTCACACCGGCTATCCAAGAGAGGAGCCAGGTCCTTCCACGGGATATGGCAGACGTAAGGGCCACCTTCGGGGATGAAGCACTTGCTGCTACCGAAGTGGAGCTCATTGCCGCGGGTGTCATCGATGGTGATGGAGGCATTGCCGAGTCCGGCAGAGCTGATCCCTGCTTGGTTTCCCTCGGTGACAGAGAAGGTCACGGTGATACCTTGCCTCAGGAAGCCATGGTAGACGGTTCCGACGGAGTCCCCGTCGCGGCATCCGTTGCCATCCATGCACAGGTTCTCGACAATGTAGCCCTGCTCACTGGCAGGGATGAATGTGGAGGCTTCTGTGATGGCGAAGCTTGACCCGTGACTGCCACAGCCGAACGGGCCGCACACATCGGTGGCGTTCACGCCGGCCATGACGCTGGGGTTGCTGCCGGCCATGACATGGGGCAGGCCACGGGCGATGCAGGTGGAGTCGAAGCTGGCACCGACGCCGGCTATCAGGAGACCAGCGGCAGCAGCAAGGATGCAGCGATCCATGCTCGGTGTCTTGGGTATACTCTGTTTTGGTCGGTGCGTGTGAGTTGCGTGTGGTTTGTTCGTTCCAGGTAGCCTGGGGTAAGAAGAGGCAGTACGGCTTGTGACCTTGTTGATCTTGCGTGTGTTGTAGAGAAGATACGGTTCTCATATATCAGGAGGTCTCACCCTTGGCTTTATACTCAGAACCCATCATGTTCTGTGTCCTCCCCTAGCCCTAATTATCGTGATGGGCATGGGATATTTCGGAGAAACCTTGATTCTGGAGTAAGTCAAAAGAGAGAACTTTTCTGCCCATACAGTCATGAGTCGGCCAAAGTAGTCGTATTAATGTTAGCATATAATGTGGCAGTGGAGCATGAGAATAAGACACAGAAGGTTAATGCATATATGGCGTACGAGCAAGACAAGGTGTGCGTGGACATGTCCATCGTGGCCATGTGTACCGTCACAATCTATCGTGTGGTCGTCATCAGATAGTTTTGGGGGTAATATTTGGTCGTCCTATATCCGCGCTCAGGAGATTCGGTGTTGTGAGAAGAAGATGACACAAGAAGCAGAGAAAGCGGCGGAAAAAGGTTAGTGTTTTGCTATCGTTGCGTATTATCGGACAGCCCCTGGTGTCCAGCATGATCGAGGGTGTCAAAATTTTTATTTTGCATAGGGAACGATAAAAGGCGTGAAGCTTATTAGGACTATCGACTCTCTGGATGAATCTAGGGTGACAGAGAAGAGTTAAAATGACAATTTTTTTTTAAAAAAAAAAATGAGGTCGAAAGGAGAGGGATGTTCAGATATGATATGTATGTAATAAGCAGACGGCAAAAAAAGAAGCAGGGACAGCAAAACATCGACGTGGGCCTGATTCGAACAGACGCTCCCGAAGGAACAAGATTTCTAGTCTTGCGCATTAGACCACTCTGCCACCACGCCAATTATGAGAAAATAGGCTCTTGGTTAACGTTTATCAGAGCTTGACCGAAAATTCCATGACAAAAAAAAACATCTCCATTACGCTCAGTCATCAATTATCCATAGACTGCACTGCATGGCTTGATTGAGCTAGCATAGTTTTGAACTCTTGGTAGATGAACACATCTCTACGGGACCTGCCACATAATATGGTAAAACAAGCACACCCAGCTTCGCAGATACTGATTCTGATAGAAGAAGCGAGGGCCGTTGAAAGAAATGCGTCAGAGATATTCGAGGGACAGCAGGTTGTCGGTCAAAAGCAGAGATGTTCCCATCGGATTTGACAATAACGGTGTCCAAGTCAACATAAGCGTAGCCGCGTGGATAAAGACAGCAGGCAATTAACAACGGTAAAACGAAGCAACCGTGGGTAATAGGCGACAACACCAGAGCACGGCTAATTGACTCACGGGTGAGATATGCAATATTGTCAGGTGTCAAGTTCTTGTTCTATTATATCCTGTCAAACTTGATACTCCTTCTTATATGGAGCAGTCAAAGTTTGGATTACTTAACCTACGTACAAACCGTACGAGTGCCACAACAAAAGTAATGGCCAAGTACTGAACAGGAAGAATGAAATAAGATGAAAAGGCGATACATATTCTTCATCAGCTCCGTTCTTCTAGGTATTGACAGGTAGCTGCAGGTACCAGAAAGCGGGAAAGTATTATTATATATTACATGTAATACATGTCGCTCGCATGGCATGTAATAATGTATTACGAGTATATGAAATTTTTTTTTTCAGCAACCCGTACAGAGTAAGTACCTACCCGGGGGTGCGGAAAACCTGTCGCCTTTAGCGTCTGAAAACGCCTGGGCCCCTATGCAACGTCACACACTTACTTGATAGTGTACAACAAAAAAAAAAGCAAAAAAAAAAAAAAAGTAATTGCGACAGCCAGCGAAAAACATGAAAAAGCGTCCCTTCTACAAGCTGGAAAAGAAGAAATAGAAAAAGAGGAAGAAGAAAAATGTCAGGGGAAACGCTTCAGCCTAATGGGTGGGCAGCCCTGAGGCTTCCCAATGACAACTTAAAGATTCTGCAGATTGTTCCCCATACGTACGTTGTGCATTCACGGCGACAGGAGTCTGCATAGCAAAACACGAACCCTTGCTGACCGATCCGGGACAACACAGGACAATCTCCCTCGGGAAATACGGCTCCTTCCCGAGCAACCTGATCATCGAGCGACCGTTTAACCTGACATACGAGGTGCAAGACCGGCTGGAGGGCGAGACGTTCTCACGGCTGCGGGTGGTGTCGGCGGCGGAACTCAACGCCGATGCGCTGGCCGACACGACGGGGGACGTTGCGGCGGCGGCCGAGGCGGAGGCGGCCGAGAACGGGACCGGATCCGACGACACGGGCGAGGACGAGGAGCTGACCCTCGTGGACCAGAGCAGCGGACAGGTCGTGGCGCGGTCGAAGCGCGAGCTGCTGCTGGACGAGTCGGCGCGGCAGAAGCTGACGCCCGCCGAGATCGAGGAGCTCAAGCGCAAGGGCGCGTCGGCCGGGCATGATCTCATCGCCAAGCTGCTCCTGTCGCACACGGCCATCGAGCAGAAGACGGGCTACTCGCTGGCCAAGTACAAGCTGCTCAAGACCAAGAAGTACATCCGTCGCTTCACCGTCCTGCCCCTCGACGTACCCCTCCTGGCCCACTGGATGCTCGAGGACAGGGACGCCGCCAAGATTCTGGAGATGCGCCAGGAGTCCATGGCCCTCGTGGGCTGCTGGTCAGACGTGCACTTTACCCCACCTCCCGCCAAGGGCGCCCAGGGCCCTCACGCGGGGAGGTGGCTCGTCGTCGATGATACGGCGGGACTACTTACGGCCTCGCTGGCCGAGCGTATGGGCATCCTTCACCCCAAACCGGATCAGGACGACCAGGACGACCAGACATCACAACTTGAAGACACGACGACGACGACGACGACGACGACGGCAGACGTTCCCCTGAGGCAACAGGAGCAGCAGCAGCAGCCGGGCGAAGAAGTCAAAGCTGTGACCGCCGCCAGGTCCAACAGCAAGCGTCGTATCGACGACCTCGAGATCCCGTACGCACCCAACAACAGCCTCACCATCATCCACCACAACTCGCAGCCCAACCTCTCCGTCCTGCGCTACTTCGACTTTGACCACTCCGACATCAACCCGTCCCCGCCCTACCACCCGCTCTTCACCAACCTGACCAGCCTGTCGTGGCTGCAGCTGGTCGCGCCCGAGGAGGACCCCGCCTACGCCGACGCGCCCGCCGAGGTCGACGCCGAGACGCTCGCCTCGTGGAAGACGAACCAGCGGGGCAACTACCACCGCAAGCGCCGCCGCTGGGCTCGCACGAAGCACATCGTCGACACGACGCTCGCGGGCGGCTTCTCGGGCCTGGCCGTCGCCAGCACCATGGACCCCGTGTCCATCCTGAGGCACACCCTCCCCCTCCTCGCTGGGGGCGCCCCCATCGCCATCTACTCTCAGACCGTCGAGCCTCTGTCCCAGCTGGCGGACTGCTTCAGCGTGGGCCGCCGTGCCGGCTGGGTTGCCAACCCCCCGCCCGAGACCGTCGGCCAGTCTACCGCCGAGCTGGAGCGCTGGGCCGGCAACGAGGAGTTCCCCATAAACCCTACCTTGCTGCTGGGCGCGAGTGTCCAGACCAGCCGCGCCAGGCGCTGGCAGGTGCTCCCCCAACGTACGCACCCTCTCATGACGGAGAGGGGTGGCGCTGAGGGCTACATCTTTACGGGGTGGAGGGCTGTCCCTGTCGAGGGCAAGATTGAGGCCAGGGGCAAGTTTAGGCGCAAGAGGGCTTAGGTTTCTGTTCAGAATAGATAGGATAGAAAGGTCAGGTAAAAAGCATCAATGTGCAATGCCCAAAAATTAAGGGAAGATGAGATCATGCCGGCCGTCAGTCCAGTATGAGTGAGATTGGGAAGGAATCACCGCAAGAGGTGTTTGGCTACTCTGCGTGTTTTGTATCGGGTCTTCTTTTTTTGTTGCCGTTTATATAAGTATGCTCCGTAGCTTCCCCATAGGCTGCTGTCGCTGGCCACCATGTCTCTAGAGAGACTTGCCCATGAACTTTCTCTTGGTAAAGCTGAGCCACCACTTGCTAGGCTTGGCGTCGTCCTCCTCGTACACGCGCGCGAGTAACCTCAACGCCAGCTCCTGCCGCACCTGCGACATGTATTGCCTCAGCTGCTCGGCATCCTGACGGTCTCGCGGGGGCTCGTACATCTATATGGGTCACACACAGCCGATCAGCAATGTCCCCTCCCCCCTGTGCCTCTCTGCCGCAACGAGGTCCGGCAAGGTCTCTGGGCTAGAATTAGAAACGGTCTGACTAGCTTACCTGGTTCAGGGGCCAAGAAGGGTCACCGGGGAGGGCAAAGTTGTTGTCGAGGGCCAGGTTCATGACATCCTTCTGGGCGTCGCGGGCGGAGGCATTGGGCCTGATCTTGGTGAGGCAGTCGCCGACGAAGAGGATGCCGTAGACGAGGAGGCGGTCGGCGGTTCCCTGAATCTCAAAGTTACGGAAGAAAGAGTTTGCGCGGAAGAGGGCGAGGACCTCGTCCAGGACATCGTAGCTCTCGTCGTCCGGGTCGGGCGACTCGCTGAGAGGCAGGGACACGGGGGGCAGGGCGTAGGCCGGGCCGCGGGTCTTGGTGCGTAGAGGGAGGAGAGGGAAGTTCCCGACAAGGCGCGGCGTGTTGGGGTCGTTATTGAAGATGGAGTTGTAGGCCTGGTAGGAAGCCGCAAGGGGCGTGGTCAGTTCAAAGGACTGCATCGTCTTCCTCCCCCCCAAGCTGCTGTCATGGCAGAAGCTCGAGAGCTGAGCTGGCCCGGCCAGCTCCCCCGTCCTGGACACGGCACCAGGACGGGCAACGGAAATCGACAAACACCCGGTTTTGATGTGGTACGTACAGGCATCTTGAACAGCTACTCTGGCGGGGAGTTGGGGATCTCCGCGAAGCTGTATCGGGTTTATAGAGAACCGAAGATGGCCGTCGGTTTGGCGGGGCTCTGCCGGCGGAAGCTGTCGTCGATAGTGTGGGGCCCTTGCAGTGGCTTGGGGAGAGAGTGACGAGACTGGATGCCTCAGGACAGAAACAAATGGCTCAGGTAAAAAGATGTCGACGAGGCTGCAGGCACCGGTGTACGGCTGCCTAGACGGGCGACGCACGTGACCACGCATAATTGGCTTGTGACTCCTAACAAGGCAGTGGCGGGAGAGAGCGACGCGCTCCATTCGCTTTGGCGATGGGAACTGCAGTAGTCTGTACTCGTACTTATGCTAGGAGGGAAATCATGGCCGATGGAGAGAGGGAGATGGGACAGGGACGATTGCCCTTGACAGGCAATATTTCGAATGTGATGCTTTATTATTGGACCGACCCTTGACTGTTAACTACACATCGTACAGTGCATATAGACACTTGTGACCTTTGTATTGGACCCCAAATATTGCCAGAATGCGTACAAGCCCGCCCCGATATCAATGACTGAAGCGAGGGCGGCTAGCGAAACTCACCCACAGCCTTCATCTGCAGCGTATCTTGCTTGCCTGTGGTGTTACGTAGCCACGTATTACTATTACTTGACCATCCATTCACGCCTCTTTGTCTGAGCCTCTCTCCCTCTTCATCTTCCGCACTGTTTCTGCTTCCTTCCGTATCCCTCCCCGTGATATAGTTTCTCTGTTCCCTTTTCTTTTCGCCTCTCTTTCCATCTGGCTCCATGCTCCTCCCGCCGCTACGCTTGCGCCACACTACATCAGCAGCAGCAGCAGCATCAGCTTATTGATTGTTCTCTTTGCCCTCCGTCGCAAGTGTTATCCTGCGCGCGCGTCGTGCTACTACTCCATAACGGAGTAGGCACATCAGGCGACAGGGGGGGCGGCGGGGCCTCTCCTTGTCACGCGTCACCAAGCTGCTCAGTCTATATCAGGAACAAAGAGCCGGCTGTCATCGACTAGATTAGTCGCGGGAGTCGTTGCCAACCCACACCCCACTGCTGCTGCTGCTGCCTTGAAGGCATTCTCACTCGACTCTGACTGATCCTTATAAGAAGTCGACTCCCCCCTCCTCACCCGCTGACGCGACCCCTTACGATTTCGGCGCACATCAGATCGCATCCACCAACATGTCGGCACCGCCTGGTACACAGGTGCCGATTGACCCGGCACTCCTCCGCGAGCAGCACCTGCACGGTTGGCAGTCGGCATCATCGTCGGCGCCGCCACCGACTAAGCGGTGCCGCAGGAGGCGGCCCCCCCGCCGCCCGGCACGGAACTCTCTCTACGACCTGATGCACGAGCATGCGGGAACCTCACTCTTTGTGCGCCCGCTCTTCTGGACAGACGTGCACTCGAGACTGCTGGACGTGCGCTTCCGTGAGCTGGAGCCGTGCGACACGCCGACACCGCACCACGATAGCAGCACAGACACCGCGCCGTCCAAGAACCACATGCGCCCGTCGCCGTCGGTCGTCACGCTCAGCGATGCCCTCACCGAGCTCCTCCTCCCATCTTCCCCCCATCACGGGCCGACTACCAACGCCGTCAAGAAGGTTCTCGAGACCTTGTGGCCCAATGCATTCCGCACACCCCGCCACCTGCCTACCTTTCACCTCCACTTTGGCGACCACGTCTACTACGAGGCCGTCCGGGCGCAGGTCATGTGGGAATACGCGCCTGTCGCCGCCACCGGCCCCGGTCCCACGCCGTCCGAGTCATTGGACTCGTCCGATCGCGCCGACTCGTGCACTCCAAGCTCGACCCCGGTGCCCGGGCCCGAGAGCATATCCGTACCGCAGCGCCGCATACCCATGATGTGCTACCTAGGCAAGTCGCAGCTCGCATCCATGCGCAGAAACATATTTCGAATATCCCCCGGCCCTTATAGCAGCGGGAACGAGCCCGTCTTGCGCCTCCAGAAGCTGCGGTCCAAGATGCTCGTCCCCGCCGACGACGACCAGGACCCTCACATGATTGGCATCTTCCTCGCCATGGCCCAAAAGTACTTTTACGACACGCCCAGTCTCCCAAGCCACCCCTACCGCCTACGGCAGGCCAGGCCGACGTCTCAGCAACGACGCCTGTCGCCACGACCAGAGTTCCACGACATCAAGCTGCGCGTCCTCACGCAGGACAGCGAGACCTGCGAGTTCATCGTCTACACGGCCATCGTGACGGCAGCCTTCCTGCAGCGCTTCCACGACCCCTTCAGCCACCCTGCCGACGGCGGCTCGAGCGCAGGCATGGATATCCAGTACACCAGAGTCCCCGCCTGGCCCATCGTCGGCCTGCGCGAGAGGATGGGCAGAGCTCTGGGCGAGGAGGTCGTCGGCCCCTTTGACCCGAACGACATGGAGATGTGGGGTGACGAGACGGAGATGGAGACGGAGACGGACGCCGAGACGGTCGAGTCATCCTCCAGAATTGTCACCTCGACGAAGCGCAAGCGCGAAGCTCTGAGCGAGGTCGTTCACAACGGCACCTTTGACGGCGATTCGAGCGACGACTCGGATGGTGGTGACGGTGCCGACGAGCCCACCTTTTCCTCGAAGAAGCGTTGTCTAAGCGAAGGCAGCATAGTAGGCGTTGTCATCTGATGCGCCACGCCGCAGATATACTGTACCCCGCCACCTTCTTCATCTTCTCCGTCTCACGAGCCATCGATTTTCTTCCTGCTCCACACACGATGAGCAGCTGGTCTGGACCTGCCGACTGATCAGCCCTTCCTGCACGCGCATGAGCCACGTAGTCTACGCACTGCATCTATCTCTATCCATCATATTGTGTCGATCTCTCTTTGCTCCTCTCGTGGTGGTGGAATGTAGAGGGGAGTTTTCACACCGGGGAGTCTGTGTATGCATCTTCGACGGGCAGTTAGCCGGGCCGAGACAGAACCGACGGCGTCTTCAGCGACACAGCGCATCACGATGTATGGCTCTATGATATGGGCGATATTCTTATCCTTTCGTGTATCTTATCTCTTTTTTCCTTTTTCCTTTTCTTTTCTTCTCTCTTCTTCTTTCTTGATAGAATACCCTTTCGATCTGTCCTGTTTTGTCTGTCGACGGTATCATGACTATTGATAGTAGATCCTGCATGTGCCAAAAGCGCAGGTCTTATTGTTCCATGTGTCTATGTATTCCCGCTTTTCCCAATCTTGGATGACCTCGTCTCTTCTCCATGGAAGGAAAGGAAACCGAATTCGCTGCCCACAAACCCCGCGAGCAGGCATGCGTTGATCGCTGCTGATTCTCTTGTTGTATTTTATTTCGATGCCCTGTCAGATGTGGATAGATCCGACGGGTTTATCTATCATCTATCTGATTCCACCCGGAAACTCTCGTCTGCGCTCCTTTTTCTTCTTCTTGTTCTACTCTTCTTTATATGTAGTATTATTATCAAGTCTCTCTATGGAGGAGTGCTCCGTACAGGATGAAATAGATATAAATGCGACGTGCTGCAACATCTTTGGATGGCGTCGGACAGTATTACCACTCGAGCGATGTACGTTGGTTCCTCGTACACTGCATATGCCGTGGCTTATTACCCCGTCTTTTCTGAAATGCATTGTATGATGCACGATGATGAAGGCTTGTCTTGACATTGCTGATGAGGCTATTTAGCTTTGCTCTGTTATCACGCAGTCTTTTTTGTCTGTTCATCTCGTCGCATCGGCCATGGAGCACATATCTCCGTCCTGGCTGTGGATTCCGAGCTTCCCCTCCTCATCAGTGGTGTAGTATCAATTGGAGGTCATGATTTACATGTACATGCACTCAACAACAAGAGTCTGATACGGAAGAGCAGTTCGGTATTAATAGCCCAGAAAAAAGAATGCTACATTGCATGCTAGGAGTTGCACTTTGCTAACTCATCACTCCCATGACACTACTACTCTGTCATGCTCGCACTCTCAAACAGAAACCGAGACCGAGGAAACCACAATATTACCGCACACATGGATCATCAAGCCTTTGAGTCAACCAACAGGCCGTGCGTGGCCCGCGGATCATGTATTAATATGTTGAAAGGCTTGGCTCGTGGGTTAGGCATGAAGCTGGGCCCCGCTCGCAATATCAATCTTCTCCGGAGTCTGGGAGGTAACATGTAACAGCACGGAGCTAGTCCGGCAGCCGCTCCTTTCATCCTTCTTCTTTTCTGTTTTTTTTCTTCTGTCTTCTTCTTCTGTGCCATGTCCCCATAAAAAGCCGGTATATCGTTTCCCGGGTCATGTTTCTACCTTGCCAAGTGACGTGCGGTAGCCAGTCTGAGACAGCTGATACACAGCTAGGAACGGCAAGACCGGTACAAGCACGACGATGCGATAACGTCCTTTGCAGCATGAAAGTACGAGTATGGTGCTTGCATATTGTCCCCAACAATTACCGATACAATCATGACTACCGTTCCGTGGAAAGAAGAGAAGGCACCCTTGAAAATCCGTATATGTACTAGGCCCCAACCGGCCTACTTATTAGTGTGGTCCGCTAATATGTTAGCTACGAAGTACCATGTATTGTTATTAGTACCGAGAACAACAGACGAGATGAGCGTTTTTTTCTTTTTTTCTTTTTTTTCTTCTTTCTTTTTCTCCTTCCCTTGTTCCACTTTCCTCACTGGGATAGAGAATGTGATGGCCAGCGTGGTGAAAAGCGGGCGCTGTCAGCTACTCGGGACAGCAACTAGCTAGTAATAATAACGAGTTGAAGTGACCCGTTCTTCCCTGTCACAGCCTTGTCCAACTGCTGATGACTTGATCGAGATCAGGTGAACGGATGAGCAGGGGGAAACTGCTCATGAACGCATGAGATCGTCTGCACATGGTTCAGCAATGTTTCGCGTTTTTACTAGGCTTAGGCAGGGATATATATCATTATTACCTATAATATAACACACCCCGCAAGATGTGCCTCTTTCCAATGCCACCGTGGACTTGGGCAGATGACCTGGGGGGGCCGAGACTCCGAGTCATTGCTGGTGGCCAAGCCATGTTACTAAATGATGAGCGTAAGTGTACATTGTATACTGCAGGGTTGAGTGGGAAAGGGCAGAGACTCCCCTCCCCTCCCTATTCGGGTAGTATACTCCGTACAGAAACCCTCAAGTATTATAGCGTAGCGGAACGACGTCCTAACCTAACCCACGACCCACGGGCCTCTCATATATGATATGATGCTCTTCGACACCCATCTACCTGAGCATGTAAGCCACTGCGACGCCTCTTGACCTGAGGAATTGTATCATGGTCGCCAAGCCTCTTCCTGTCCGGTCTGGTCAAGCGCAAGCCTCAGCTTTCCTCTTCCACAATCTAATCCGCTCATTGTACTCCATCTCCCTGTACCGTGTCCTCTCGTCCTGAGGTTTCCCCGTTCTTTCTGTGCCCTTGCATATGCCACTGTCCCCACACTGCTTTCCCTAGGATCTTCCATCCCGCCGGCAGAGACTGAACTGTCTGGTTTTCCCATGCGTGGAATATCGAGTTTTTAGCAATGATCAATACCGGCGTAGCCTGATCTTTGCGTTCCTTCGGTCTAGAGTTCACAAGGTCACGGCCCATCGCCGTTCGTGTGCTTGTGCGTCCCTGCTGCTCATCAAGCGTCATGGGGCTTGTTCATGCTTTGTTCAGAGAGGGTTAAAGTCAGGGGAGGAAGCTACTAGTCGGCATCGAGAGGGACAAGTACCATTCAGAGGCCCACCCGCTCCTGGGGATTTGGTCTGGGATGGGATTCGACCCATACAACAACCCCACCGGTATAAATGAGAGTATAATACTAGCTGCTCAACAAATTCTGGTACTTGTATATCCCCTCCCCGTGTGTCTTATTCACCCTTCAGAATTCTTCTTGGGATTGTCGTGTGTCGGCTTATAGTGATACACACACCGATTCGCCATCCTCTCTTTCGCGCCGATGAAGCTGATGCGCAGTCTTTGGGTGCTCGGAGCCGTTGCCGTGGCCGGTGCCGGGGCCTTCCCGGCCGCGGGACCGGATACCACTGCGGACTCTCCCGAACTGGAAGGTCGGGACATCCTATCGACCACGGTAGACACGCCGGCCGGGACCATTGTCGGGGCTCGTCTCCTAGGCGTCGACTCCTTCCGCGGCATCCCCTACGCCGAGTCCCCCGCCGGTAAGCAGCGGCTCAAGCCGCCCAAGCGCCTCCAGACCAAGCTTGACAACTTTGACGCCAAGGGCATCGCGCCCAGCTGTCCGCAGATGCTCCTGTCCAGCTCGTCCGACGACATCATATCCAAGATCGGGTCGTTTGCGCTGCAGCTGCCCCTCTTCAAGCCCCTGACCGACCCGATCCAGGGCCAGGAGGATTGCCTCAGCGTGACGGTGCAGCGGCCGTCAGACGCCAAGGAGGGCGACGACCTCCCGGTTCTGTACTGGATGTATGGCGGGGCTTTTGAGCTGGGCAGCACAAACGTCTACGACGCCGCCTCGATGCTGAGGCAGGCCAGCCGTCAGGGCCAGCCCTTCATCTTCGTGGCCGTCAACTACCGCGTCGCCGGCTGGGGCTTCCTCCCCGGAGCCGAGGTCCTCGCCGACGGCAGCGCCAACCTCGGCCTGCTGGATCAGCGCATGGGCCTCGAGTGGGTGGCTGACAACATCGCTTCGTTCGGCGGCGACCCGACAAAGGTCACCATCTGGGGCGAGTCGGCCGGCTCCATCTCCGTCTTCGACCAGATGGCCCTGTACGGCGGCGACGTCAGCTACAAGGGCAAGCCCCTCTTCCGCGGTGCCATCATGAACTCGGGCAGCATAATCCCCGCCGAGCCCGTCGACGGCCCCAAGGGCCAGGCCGTGTACGACACCGTAGTCGAGGCGGCCGGGTGCTCCGGCGCAGACGACACCCTCGAGTGTCTGCGAGACGTCGACTACGACACCCTCATGGACGCCATCAACACGCTCCCTGCCTTCATCGGCTACTCGTCCGTCGCCCTGTCCTTCCTGCCCCGACCGGACGGCCGCGTGCTGCCCGACAGCCCCGACGTGCTCGCCAGCTCGGGGCGCTACCACGCCGTTCCCATGATCATCGGCGACCAGGAGGACGAGGGCACCATCCTGTCCCTGTTCCAGTCCAACACCACCAAGACCGACGAGGACATCGTCGACTACCTGTCCACGAATTACTTCCACGGCGCCAGCGACGAGACCCTCACGGCGCTGGTCAGCTCCTACGAGGACACCAAGGCTATGGGCAGCCCCTTCCGCACCGGAATTCTCAACGAGCTGTACCCCGGATTCAAGCGTCTCGCCGCCATATTGGGCGATCTCGTCTTCACCCTCACCCGTCGCTATTTCCTCGACCTCGCCACCAGCGCGAACCCCGAAACCCCTGCCTGGTCGTACCTCGCCTCGTACTACCACAACACGCCCGTCATCGGGACCTGTCACGCGTCCGACATCGCTCAGTTTTTCTTCAACGCCATCCCCGACCCCGCCGGCATGGCTCACCGCACCTACTACTACAACTTCATCAACAATCTCGACCCCAACGTCGGCAACGATGACCACCCCCACTGGCCCCAGTGGTCCGAGAACCGAGAGCTCCTGTGGTTCGAGAACCTGGTCAAGGTCGGTTATCTGGATGACGATTTCAGGGAAGACTCGGCCCGCATCATTTCTGAGAATGCGGCCGAACTGCATATTTGATTTGCTCGGTCAGAGGTACCATTGATATATCAAGACTATACCTTGTGACTTCACATGTATGATTTACTCCATGTTCGACTTTAATCTGCCAATGGCGATGGTTACCTGGCATTGCGATACATACACACGCATATATACATATATATGTATGCATGTATGTATATTCCTGTATTATATTCTCCTTCTAGATGTTCATGTCTCTACATGCGCAGACCAATGCTATTTAATCAGATCTCTACGTTGCAATAATTGAAGCATCACCATGATACTTTTATTTCACTACCCTAGACCACTTTCTAATCCATGTCAACCCTTCTGTATTTACACTAGACATGAACGAGGTTAGTCTGTTGTGCATTCATGTTTCCATCACCGCTTCGTTTGACTGAACGTTTGTATAGCTTCTGAACAGCAACCACTCTTCGATAAAGTTACCTTGCTGGGCTCTTGGCTTTCATGCCGGAAGGCGTTGTTGTTACATCCTTGAGGACCTTGTCTGACGACGTGCATGCATCAAGGCATTCTCATGCAGGGCTTGCGTATAGTAAACTCTGTATACAGCTGGGAGGCCTCCCAGAGTCGTGAGTTCCATCTTTCAGGAACCTGACATGTGATGGCAGAGAAGGGCTTCATTCGGCACGCGACGTAGTGAGATCCGAATATAATGTCGGATCAGCCGTTCCAGGTATTGGTAACAGCGAGGACGCTTAGTATCGAAAGCCGACCGTCCTTTTCATGGCCAGTGGCCTTCATGTAGAAGATATGGGCTTGCAAGCTTGTGAAGTTAAGCCCAGCGTTGTAGTGTTACCCGTTCATGAATGGGCAACTGGACTGTACTGATGTGTAACATAGGGTTGTTCGTATCCGCGTCCAAGGTAGACATGGTCAATACCGACGATTTCAAGGATCCTTTCCATTAGGAGCGGCCGGGGGCATACGGCCCATCTCAACTAAGCCATACAAAAGCTTTGATGAGGGATGTTGACGGTTCCAGGAAAGACACGACACGTTCACTTATCCTCAGACCAGCTTTCCTATTTAGCGTCTTGTCAACCAGGCTGGAAATGTGGCATACATCCACAGAAATTGAATCCTTCTCATGTCAGGCCGATGCTACCGATCTGAGGCACATAACACCAGACGGATGCCAAATACAGATTTTCCTTTGTTCATGATCAATCGGTTATCACTATAGGAGAGAAGGAAGAAGGGACACAAGAAGAGACCGTGCACACTGATAAGCGAGATTTACTCGGTAATTGCAATGTAAGTGCATGACTTATCACTTTATGATGGGACTGACAATAGGAGATATTGATGACGGTATATTGTGGGAGTATATGGTATCCTTTATAATGAGAATATCTATAGTAGAGGTACTTATAGGATTCTAGGCCTGTACATATATTATTAGATAGAGGGAGGAGCGTTGCGTAAGTGTTACTTATGCCATGTCTCTTTCCAACCTCGTGACTTATCTTGGCTATAACATGTCAGGGCCCTACATATATCACAGTACAGCTCGAGTATATGACTGATACTAGCAGGTCCTATCTTGTTGATCCCTGTACTTGTACGGAGTACTACTCCGTATCATCACGAGTAACAATGATGACAATGTGGAGAAGGCCCTGACTTGACTTCAGTTGCAAGGTCCATCGAGGCGGTAGGCAGACTTGACCAGCATAACATTACCACGTACGCGGGGTCTGCCTGCATGTGTCAGCTGCTATTATGCACGGATTCGTATCGTCATCCCGGCAGTTGGCTAGTTTATATAGCAATAAGTAGTAGCCGTCTCGTATCCAGCCCTGCGAACTGGAACCGTAATGGTAGGGTGCATAAACATTACTATCACACCCACTCGTAGGGTCTACGATCAATGTCTATCCCCTATCCCCTTCCTATAGTCTTGAACACGTATATGTAGCCCAGGATGGCAAATTGAGACTATATGCCAGCCTCCTACCTGAAACCCGGCAGCCATACTATACGCTGTAGCACACGTGTCGGTCAATTTTACCGAAATAATAAAGTTGTTTTTATTTTTCTCTGTGTTCCCGACCCCTGAACCAAAGGTATAGATCATGTCTCACCCGCGCGTAAACCCTATGCACTCATACTGCTGGTCTTGGTGGTTTTGCGTATGCGCAATCGCTTGATCTAGTTCACGCACCTTCATGTTGGAGGTGAGACGGCCCATTGGGCCTGACGTGTCCTCGATCCCGACGCCTCCCTTGCAAGCATTTGCACTCTTCATCATCGTTTTCTTTACCGGTCTGGCTTTCTTCGTCTATTGCCTTCGGGTATATTCGAGAATCCGACTGCACACATGGGGTATCGGTACGTGCTTTTACTTACTCCTGCTTTCTTCCTACCCCGCGCCGATCCCGGACGGTGAAAAAAATGATAGCTGACAAGACATCTCCTAGATGATGTATTGATGACCGTGGCTATGCTGTGTTCCTGTCTCATGTTACCTCCATTCTACCTTTGTGAGTGCACATACAAAACTTCCACCCCGTTTCCAGTCAGGGAACGGTGGCTGGGATTGGACCTTTGAAGATGATGGTTGTGTTCTGATTCGTGTCGACAGACATCAAGTTGAACTACTTCGGGTGGAAAGCAAAGGATGTGCCAGAATTCGACCCCCAACCGGGCTTGTGGTGGTTCTACATGGCGCAGATACTCTACAACCCTGTCCTTGCCCTGGTTAAGGCCTCGATTCTGGTCTTCCTGCTGCGACTAGTGGAGCAGTCGACGCGGGTTCGCTGGGCTATTGAGTTTCTAAACGCCTTCAACGCTCTCCAGTGTGTTGCCGTCTTCCTCGTTGCCATTTTTCAGTGTCTTCCCGTCAAGGCGAACTGGGACCAGACCTTGAGAGCAGACCCCGACACGAGATGCATCGGCAACTCGTTCCACATTATAAGCTCATCCATTACACTCCTGACAGATATCGTCATTGCGGCTCTCCCTGTCTGGATATTCATGCGTCTCAATATGCCCTGGACAACCAAGATGGCTGCGATGGGCTTCTTCCTACTCGGTATCATGTAAGTATCCAAAGGTCTCCCACGTTGCCGAAGAAAGAGAAGAAGAGCAGGGGGAGAGAGAGGCCACGGCCAGCTGACCTTGTACCACCAGCGTGACGGTCATAGGAATAGTGCGCCTTCTGAACGTTGTCAAGCTACTTTACTTTCCCGAGGAAATTGGTGACCGTTATCATAGTATCGCCATCACGTTGAATACCGTCGAGGTCAATGTTGCCATCATATCAGCCTCAGCACCCGCGTTGCATACCCTGCTCCGAGACTGTCTACCCCACTGTTTCGCCGGCGACAGTAGCCGGCGCAGTCAGGGTAATGGTGCACCGGTCGAGAGCAAGGCATCCTTCGAGAATCAAAGCGACGACACCGGCTCGCAGCCTGCCCCCGACCACGGAAATGTTGGAATTCATCTTGATCCGGTCGGCCGGAAGTTCCGCCAGCAACTCGCCGACGTTCGCAGCATCAGCTCTGCGGGATCTGAGGATGGCATCATGGGCCACAGTGGGATTTTATGTACTACCGATATCCGAATCCAGTACCACAATGACCAGATTCACGGCTCCGAAACTAAGGATGGGGTTGCCAGCAGCATGCAGGAATCCGAAAACAAGGGATGCGGCGGTTAGGAGGCTGCAGATTCAAAACAGAACATTCCTCGGGGGGGGTTCGAGGTTTTCAGTTGGAGAGATACCGATACGCAACGCACTTGAATTGATTCTTAATATACACGCTAGTGACCCGGCGGACTGAGATTGTTACCCCTAGAGCGTGAGATACGTGAGAATCCTTCGCCAGAGAGGCTTAGAATGGTAGTCATCCAAGGCAGAAAGTTCCTCCTCCGTTAGATAGCGTCGTCCACTCAAGAGGTCAGCCATCTTTGGGTTCTGGAACCTTGTACGGAAGTAAAATTTATATCCGATAAAGGCCGTGAAGAACAGTGGCATACAGAGCATCGTCTCAAAGAATGCTTCGGCACTCGGCGGGCTGCCAATCGGGCTGGCAGAAGTATAGATGGTGCAGGCGAAGGTGAAGAGCGTAGCGAGGAACAGAAAAGCAGGTGCAAGAGGAAACCAGCGAAGCCGGAAGGCGTGGGGCAACTGTAGGGCGGGATCGTTCTGGGCCTCGAGAGCGCGATGCATGCACCAGTTGGTGATGGGGATGGTGAGCCATGCAAAGAATGTCGTCGTGGCCGAGACTGAGCTGAACCATGTGAAAGCCGTGGCGCCACCGGTGGAGGTGTTGATGTAAGTCATGATGATGCTCACTACCGCGCAACAGATGTTGGAGTAGACGGGGCGGCCCAACCTGTCCACCTTGCCAAAGATTGCAGGGAACATGCCCATGCGGCCCATGGCCGTCTGGATGCGAGATGCCGTGAACATGGACTCCGACCCGATGCCGGTCAGGCCAACGAGCAGGAGTACGTTGACAATGTCGGGCAGCACACTGATCCCGACCCTGTTGAATGCAATGATGAACGGAGAACGTACGAGCTGGTTCCCGTCAGCAAGGAGAGCTGGATCCATGTGAGGGACGAGAACGGTGATGTAAACACATGCGGAAATATAGATAGTGATGATGCGGATAAAGAGGTTCCTGCAAGCCCGGGGGAGCTCCCAGCGCGGAAAGGCAGACTCGCCTGACGATATGCCGATGATCTCCTGGCCTCCCGTAGCCCAGGCGGCCAGGATGAAGACAATGGCAACCCCCTTGAATCCGTTGGGGAAGGCCACCAAGGAATCGTAGTTGTAACCTCGGTCAACGGCATCGCCTCCAAATCCGCAGCAGATGATGAGCATGACGAAGAGGACAACAAACGTGATGGTAACCTTCATGGCTCCCGTGAAGAACTCGAACTCGGCAAATACCCAGTTTGGCAGGGCGTGCTGCCCCAGGACAACGACCAGGTAGATGGTGTACCATGCGGCATCAGGCACCTCGGACGTCCAGTAAGAGGCCACCACAGGAAATACAGCACCCTCGGCGGCGACAACGGTCAAGGCCCCAAACCATTCGCAGAATCCGATGGCGAAACCCAGGGCAGGGTCCACGAAGCGCGTGGCGTGGTCGATGAAGGAGCCACTCGTGGGGAAGAGGCATTGCGCCTCGGCTAGGATGTTCATCATGAACAAGGCCATGATACAGATAAGCCCATAGCCGATGAGCATGCCTGAAGCAGAGCCATAACGCAGGGCCTGGTTTTTTTTTCCCCAAGTCAGTCACGAACTTCCCGGGAGTTCATCGCGGTCGGGAAACGATCTAGTCACGAACCTTTCCACTGGAGATGTAGATTCCCGATCCAATGTTGGCACCCAGCGCAATCATCTGCATATGCCGAGTGCCAAACGTCCGGCGAAGTTGTCCACAGGGTGCTACCTGACGAGCACCGGCGACGGCATACTCCTCGCCTTGTTCGATAGGAATAGTCGTCTTAAGAACCTCTCCATTGGCCTCGTCTGACGTGTGACGAGACACCACAGCGCTGACCTTTTCGATATCACCCATCATAATTTGCGCATTCAACTGAATAGGCGCCTGGGTATAAGATGTGGACATGGACTACACACACTCAAGTACTGGGCTTCCGCTCATATACACCACGTTATAGACCCTCCCCCCCCCCCCCCCCCCCCCCCCCCCCCCCCCTCCTCGGGGCATACACACACAACCTACCAATTAGACTAAGGGACTGATGGATTATTGAAGAACTCGATAAAGATGGCGTATCTCAGCATGGGAATTTCGATCGAGGACGGTTTGGTTTATCAGGTGGGCGATACAAATTCGTGTAATCCGATTGGCCTATAACGCCGAATCCGATTACAGACGCCGCCCGGTCCATTCAGGGACTGAAGAGACCAACCCTCGGTATCACTGTCCTGATATCAATGATAACCGGCAGATTATTATAGGACTACACCCCTCATTGTACGGGCTGCTATTGAAGAAGAGAATCGATGGCAGCGTGGCCCAGGTTCATCACACTCCCGAATCCCCGGTACGTTCGACGTCCGCGCTCGCTCGTCACTCCCGCCGTCGACTTCTTTCTCCCCCGACGATAAGAAGTTTCCGCACGATACGGGAAAGGATCGAGCTCTCCGCACCGCGTAGACATCCGTCCCCACGTGAATGCGGAGTACAAGATTCAGCAGGCCAACATGGGATCTGAACAGAGGAGGCAAACCCGACGGCTGGCATGGTAGTCTCAACCCTTCGCAACGAAATGGCGGCCTACATATTACATATACTAATGTGGGGAATCTGCAATGTAGCTCTCAGTGCCACATGCGCAAGGTAAACATGGAAGTTCTTCAACACGAGCGGAGCCAGACTCTTGTTAATATCACTGGACATGGTATTAACGAGACTGATCTCAGGTTCGGTGCGATGCGGCGTCAGGCCAAACCTGCTCCGGATGCCGCTCTTCTGGCGTTCAGTGTGTTCCTCATGAGAAGAGAAGACGCAATGTAAGTCATGTGTACACGTATATGCATGCAGTATCAGTACTAACAGGTAACTGGCATGGCAGCGAGGGCCTCTAAAACCAGACTCTCTCCCATCCATATTGCCAACACCAGCACAATGTCCATCCCCGACAACTTCCGGAAATCCAAAGAACCAGAGTCCGATAACTTTGATGTCCGACACGCCGACGCAGAAGCCTGAAGGGATCTTGAACTCCTATGTTGGGCGCGCAGCCGCCACGCTGTCATCGGTACAGGATGCGCCACGCCATGTTGACGTGAAGAGTCACCTCGTCGAGATGCTCTCACAAGAAGATATTGACCAACGGGTGATGCAGAAAGGAGTCCGGTAAGACTTGGCGCCTTTCCCCCTTTGAGTTCGACTTTCTGGGAAAGCTGAGAGGTTATATGGCAGCATCGTCTACGTCGGACAAGAGTACTCCAACGTCAATTATCTGCTCCGGAACCGTGCACGCAACCAGGCCGCCTATCACTTCCCGGCAAACCAGATCTCGCGAGAGTACACCGGTCATGAGCTGTACCGGATCCCGCGAGAGGCCTTCACCATGCCCTCCCCCGAGCTGGTCGATGAGCTTCTGGGAAGTTATTTCCGACATGTCAACCCGGGATTCCCGATCCTCGACGAGGACATCTTCATGGCACAGTACCGGAATAAGGACCCCGCTAACCCCCCGAGTCTGTTGGTGCTCCAGGCTGTCCTCCTAGTCGGAGCGCACGTATCGAGAGACCGACCGGATCGCGATGATTTGAAGGTGGCCTTCTTCCGTCGCGCAAAGATGCTCTTCGACGCCAGATTCGAGTGGAACCGGGACGTCGTCGTACAAGCCGCCCTTCTTCTCACATGGCACTCCGAAGGCGTGGAAGACATCGGGGCGAACTCTTACCACTGGGTGGGCGTCGCTGCGAGGACTGCACAAGGACTGGGGATGCACCGCGACACGGGTCCCACCACTCTAGTGGCCCACGACAAGAGACTCTGGAAGAGGCTGTGGTGGATCTTGTTCCAGTTTGACGTCCTCGTATCACTGTCATACGGACGTCCCCAGGCCATTAACCTGGACGATTGTGATGTCCCTGAGCTGGGTCCCGCAGACTTTGACCACTTGGGGGAAAATGTCGACGCGGATTTTCTGATCCATCAAACGCAGCTTTGTTGTGTCATATCGAGAGCCGTTAAGAGGACCTATGGCTTGAAAGCCTCCCCCCCTCATAGAAGGGCGGCTCTGGTAGAGGCAGACAGGATGTTGGCTAGGTGGATATCGCGTCTTCCTGTTAGTCTTAGGCGAGCTGGCGATCAGCAGAATGCATCGTTCTGGCAGGCGGTCCTTCATATCAACTACAATAACTTTTTGATTCTCTTACACAGGCCTCCGCCGCGTCCAGCGTCGATACCCGGAGCCAATAAACAGGATGATATGAGTATGCCCTTTCCTCCGTACGCCGTGACCACGGTGCAAACATATACTATTGAACTGACGGTGCCTATCAGAAATCTGCTTTGATGCCGCGACAACCATGGCTTCCCTCTTTGAGACGATTGTGGCCCAAGGCCGTCTGCGCTATATGAACTTCTTTGCCGTAGATGCCCTCTTTACAGGCTTAATTCAGCTGAGTGCCGAGATGCGGGGGGTCAACCCGATATTGTCGGCGAATGCAAAAACGATATTCGACTCTGCACTTGGCATTTTGCACTCCCTATCGGAGTACTGGCTGAACGGAGAGATGATACTCAGACTGTTCAGAGATACCTCCGAGAATCTACGACAGCAACTTCAAATAGGTGAGAGAACAATCGGAGGGGATCATCGGGAAGATTCCACAAACAGCGAGTCGGCCATGACTGCCGCTGAGCCTCAACCCGATAAAGCTGCCGGGTGTAGCAGTATTGACTGGGGATCTGGGATGGACCTGACTCATGCTGCTATGCTCAATGACCAGCTGGACTGGTCCAACATGTACTGGGAACAGTCAGGGTTCACATCACTTAGTCCCTTTACAAACATGACCCCATGACACTGTTGTTCACAATGTTCTTTTGTTGAGCGATAAGTGGCATTTCAATCGAGTACGAAACCTTGTCTACACAGCCATCATGCCCTTGTGCTTCTCTAGAAACTTGGTAACACACTCTACAAAGCGGTCGAGCTCCTCGTCGGGCGTTCCGAGGATGAGAGCGATCGACCCGCGACGTGTGATCCAAAAGCCAAGCTCGGTCATTTCAAACCAGAAGATATCCTTTAGATCCCACCGCTCCTCGATGTCGGCAATGGACTTGATATCCTGAATTCCTGTGTCGGAGAAATGGATTGCCCACACAGATCCACGTCCCGTAAAAGACGCCTTGGTGCCCTTGGTGACCCCCTGAAGCTTGGCGAGGTACTTCTCGCCCTTGGAATTGAAGGCGGCACTGGCCTCTGGGGTGAGAACCTTTGACAGCCCAGCGTATCCGGCATACATGGTCATGGTATTGTTGTTGAAAGTGCCCGAGTGGGACAAGGAACCGGGTGTGCGTGGGTCATACGCAGCCATGATGTCCTCCCGTCCGCCAAAAGCCCCAAAAGAAAACCCTCCACCAAGGTACTTCCCAAACGAGGTCAAGTCAGGCTTGAGGCCCAGAATGCTCTGGAGGCCTCCAGGAGAAAGTCTGGATGTCATGACCTCGTCCAGGAGGAAGACGGCGCCTGCCTTTTTGGCTGAGACTTGGACCTGCAGGAGGAACTCTTCCGTGCCGAGGATACAGCCTCCCGCTCCCTGCATACCCTCGACCATGACGGCGGCGACGTCTGGCGTGTTCTCGATGGTATGTCTAGCTCCGTCCACGTCGTTGTACTTGCCGACGATCCAGTCGCCCTTATCAACGTTGTTGGGGGCCACCGTGCCGTCACCAAAGGAGAAAACGGCACCGTGGTAGGCGCCATCGAAAACGACGACCTTGGTCTTGCCGGTAAAGTGCTTGGCGGCGTTCAGGGCATGGAGATTAGCTTCGGTCCCGGAGTTTGTGAAGCGGACGCGCTCGAGGGTGAACCGAGAACACATGAGCTCGGCGTGCTTCTGCTCCTGCACAATGGTAGAACCTAGGTTGAGCCCTACGTTGTCAAAGGTCGAGACAATGGCCTCGCGGATCACTGGGTGAGAGTGGCCGTAGATCCCGGCGGTTAGTTCGCCCACCATATCGGTGTACCTGCATTAGACAACGTCAGCCATCTTGAATGTTATGACAGAGGTCAATACATCGAATCCGTACTTGTGGTCATCCTCATCCCACACAAACGGCCCTCGGCCCCGCTTCATGACCAGGGGAAACGGCGACGTGTGAAGGAGCGTCCGGGTGTTCCCTCCCGGCAGGTTGTTGACGGCTATCTCATACTGTCTCTTGGAGACCGGGTTCCTCTCAGTGAACCGGGCCACTGCCGATGCGAGCCTCTTGCAGACTTCCTCATCTGCGGGGGCTGCAGAGACTGCAGGTAACTTGGACGCTGGAGGGACCTCTGCATCCTGCGACGTGACGGCGACAGGCGCCATTATCTCGATGTATACTGCTAGGACAGTAAGATGTGATGAGGTTTTTCTCCCTTGGACAGGTCAGATGATCGAAGCAGACTAGAAGAGTCCCCCCCCTTTTATCGTTTAACCTCTTAGTTACACAGATACATGTGACTCCGGGGGTTCGTCCATCGTATGCAGTGCATCAATGCCCCGTTGATGTAAGCTCGATGTCAACCTCCGCTTTTCCAGACAGCTAGTACTATCTTGTTTCATCAACCCAACCAGCACTCTTTTCAATCCATGAATCAATTGGATCTCGTGAGCCTGTTAGGCCGCCACGCTTCACTCTTATCGCCTGAATCTCGGCGATATCAGGCCCATGTCCACCTCCAACAGAGCAGCCCGACGTGCCCGGCGCTAATGGCCAATCGTTCCCCGTACCCCCCCCCCCCCCCCCCCCCCCCCCCCCCCCCCC